GAGAGAGAGAGAGAGAGAGAGAGAGAGAGAGAACTGCTGGACTCGGTGTGACTAAGCCAAGCTCCCATCTTACCTGGGCGGTGGGGTCCGGAACAAGGGCCCAAAATCAGCATGACGTGGAGTTACCCTCCGTCATTAGCCTCCCACTCACTGAGTTCCCTAATAGTCGGAGGGGAACGCGTGATAGTAGAATACTACAGAGTTTTTAGGCGTGTGGCCCCATGATATGGAGTTACCCTCCATCATAAGCCCCCCACTCCCCTTTTCTTGACTAGGAATTTTGGCCTCACCACTAAAATAAGAGACAAAGATTTATTTTTGTTCTCTTATAACTTTACACCAAAATATTTTATATTTTAGAAATATTCTAGAGAAAAATTATAATTTTTCTCTAGAACGCTCTTCATAGTTTGTGTGTCTCAACTAGAGGTCAGGTCTATATCAAGCTAGCTCTTAGACCAATCTCTCCAATTTACACAGTGTTGCTTGTTCGCTAAGGAACGTATAATTTCTCACAATAACTTATAATATTCATACGGGATTTTGGGTGGATCTACGTTTGGACCATAAAAATTTTGTTTTCCGTTGCCCTATCCAACCGTAGTTCCCTACACTGAAAGGGGAAAATCGTCTTTGTCTCTCCCGGCTTGGGTTCCCCTTTCCGTGAGATCGCCCATAGTTCTTTTTGCTGACGCGTTTTGTCGGTTACCACCACAAGAATGGTTCTCGACGTGGAGAAGCTCTGCGAGGGGGGCCCCTACAAGCTCAATGGGTAGGTGACTGATCAAGCGTTGGCTGAGATAGGGTACGATTTCTCACCCCGAAAGGGGGCCTCGCGTCGGATCACCCCTCAAGTCAGAACCATTCCTGCCCTCGACCTTAGTGGACTTTTACCCATTCTTAGTAGGTGTATATCTGTTCAAGTCTTAGCCTCACCATCTCCTTATTACTTCAGGGGACATCATGCGTTCCCTCCCATGCCTTCCTTTCTGCAGGGTGACTATGAGCCACAAACCTTCCTGTCGAGCTTCATCCCGCCCCAGATTGTGAAACGCTCCGGAATGCGGACAACACGTCCTTGACTATTTTCGTGCTTCAAGACCTGGGCTCGGCTAGTTTTTCAGAACTCCTTCCCCAAGTTCCATTGTGGCATTTGAGTAACAGATCTTTCTAACAGGCGGCAATGCGTACCTCCGAGGTGATTTTCCAATTGTAGCAATCTGAGGAGAGTAAGGCGAAGGCCTATGCTGATGTCCTTGGTTTGCAAGGCATAGTAACAACCCTCCAAGGTGAACTCGCCTCTGTTGAGGAGAGAGCGCATGAAGCCGAGGAGAAGGCCCGCAGAGTGGAGGAATGGAGGGATCATGTCGTGGAGGACTTTTGAGCATCACCCACCTTTGAGGAAACTGCTTTCGCGCGTATGGAGGGCCTACTAAAGTTGTAGGGTAAGACCGTCCCGGGTCAGAAATTCTCGACTCGGGAGGGAACGTCCTACTACATCCTAAGATTGTTCAAGGCTCATCACGTCTGGGTCACAAGCTTGAGAAGGGCTCGGAGCTCCCGCAGTCGTGTGACAACTTTAATGAGTTGGACCCTTCTCCCTACTACTCAAATGCCGAAGCCGAGGATGCAGATGAAGATGGAGCCGGGAATTGAGCTTCCAGGGGAGCCTTCAAGAGTAGCTATCTTCCCTTTGTAATTTAAGTTCTCTTTTTTGAACTCCAGGGTTGCCTAAGAGCGTCTCCCCCTGTATGTAATGAACTTTAACTTTATGTTCGAGTTTCCTTGCCCCCTTTACATGTATTGGCTTTTTTGTGCGTGCTGATTTTTTAATCTTAAACGACCCCTAGCGCTCGGTCAGTATTGGCATGCCGAGTAGGGATAGTCCCGAGGGGAGTGCACCATAAAGATGTACAATGCCCCTCCATCTTTTTCAAGTCTTCTACTCACTTTGCTCGACTCGGTAGGTCGCCTTGGTCAGTGTGGGTCTTGCTTAGGGACTTGGGTTGTCCCGTCAAGCCTTGCATTTATTTCAACTCCTCGATCTCCTCGTTCACTTTTTGATCGACCAATCGTCTTGTGTTTCACTGCGGGAATGCCACGTGTCCTTCTCTTGAATATAATTTTCATATCTATTTGAAATATTTTTTCTGACATTATATTTTTGGTGTTTGACTTTGACATAGTCAAAATGAATTTAATTGACATATAATTAAAAAGATTCGTATATTCAATTAATATTGTTCAGTCTAATGATTAGTTCCCATCAATCTTTTTTCAAAAGTTTAACATTATTAATCACTTCTTGATTGTATGCGAGTTACATGTTTTAATATTTCAAAAATTTCATAACTCAAAATCTATAAATCAGATTTGTTCATAAAACATATCGTTGGAAACCAATCCATAAAACTCAGTTTTAGCAAAAGATCATTAACTCCAAAAATTCCTTCATTTTGGTCAAAGATATAAATAATACTCCCTCCGTCCTAAAATTAACTTCCCATTTGACTTTTCACGGTCTCCAATGCGACACTTTGACCATCAATATCTCAATTTTTATATAAATATATTTTATAAAAATTATATATTTCAAAACTATGTTTCAAAATAAATCTATTGCTAACAAATTTATATGAAAATTCAATGTATTTTTTTCGTAATATGTGGTCAAAGTTTAAAAAGTTTGACTACAAAAGTCAAAATGAGAAGTTAATTTTAGGACGGAGGGAGTACATTGTTGGATCAAAATATATATTAAAAAAATATATTTATCATAAAATAACTTTTAGGCCATGTTTTGGGGNCCATAAAACTCAGTTTTAGCAAAAGATCATTAACTCCAAAAATTCCTTCATTTTGGTCAAAGATATAAATAATACTCCCTCCGTCCTAAAATTAACTTCCCATTTGACTTTTCACGGTCTCCAATGCGACACTTTGACCATCAATATCTCAATTTTTATATAAATATATTTTATAAAAATTATATATTTCAAAACTATGTTTCAAAATAAATCTATTGCTAACAAATTTATATGAAAATTCAATGTATTTTTTTCGTAATATGTGGTCAAAGTTTAAAAAGTTTGACTACAAAAGTCAAAATGAGAAGTTAATTTTAGGACGGAGGGAGTACATTGTTGGATCAAAATATATATTAAAAAAATATATTTATCATAAAATAACTTTTAGGCCATGTTTTGGGGCGTTGCAGTTCTGATCAAGGGCCCTGGCCCCTACAATTGATTGCTCAAAATTAGTAGTGGTACGTCTAGAGTTTCTAGTGCTTCGTCTAGCCATACTCTCACAACAATCTTTCTCAGAGTAAAAATCTCTCAATGAATGCACCAATAATGGGATTTAGCATATCAACTATGGAGGGATAAAAAAACTTGAATGAAATAAAGGTAAACTCTCGAAAAATATATTTTCAGTAATTCTTGTATTAGCTTGGTTTAACTCGGGTTACAATGGATGATTCATCCTCTATTTATAGTCTAACGGTTTTACGTACATTGTATGTAATTTTATGCGCTACATTATCGACATGAATTGCCTGATGTGCGTCAGTTGTGGGGGAAGAATGAGTCGTCAATTACCCACAATCAATGGGATCGCACTCTACTTATATCTTGATTTGATTTGGTGGGCTAGATCCCCACTCACTACCTTTCTCGGTCCACTAGTCCTTTCTTTGCTTTTCACCACGTGAATTCGGCCCTTAACTATACTAGGTTATAAAATAATTTGTTTGGGCCTACTCCGCCCACTTACTGTACCCGATATCCACACACCCTGTACACCATGTGCTTCTATGTGTGTGCTTGTGACAAAAAAGATGTTATAACACATTGTCATCTGTTACTATGAAAATGCTACATCATCCTTTTCAATGATCTATCTGATCAATTTGTTTGCATAGTTTTTTATTTGGTGATTTCCGTTGTCTCCACGAACTTTCACCGCTAAACAACAACCTTCAACAAAGGGTTGTGCAGTGTCCTTAGCTACCCAGACTGCCTCATACTTAGCATTATCTTTGCACCACAAAAGGCAAGAACAGGACCAACCCTATATCAAACAATGCAATCTTCATAGCCTAAAGCAATTTGTTAAATTCAATGTGAGAGTCTCAATAGAGTGAATATGAACAAATCTAATTTAGAAAGAAGCTTGAGCTTTCCCTTGCTCCAAAATAACTTCAACCAGTCGTTCAACTAGTTCAACATCTATAGCCATCAAGCTTTTGCCTATGTTCATCGTGCTCCACATTTCGAATAAGTGGACAACCTGTGAGATGGTTGATTGTTGAGTGTAAGTGTAGCCCTCATAGATGCAAGTGTTGTATGATTTTCATTTTGAAAGGTTTTACCTTAGCAAATCGATTATGTCATGCAGTTCGGGTTTCATAAAACATAATTCACTTTCAACAACATATTTTCAATTAAGTCAACTTCTAGTTTTATAACAAAATCTTTGTTTAAAATTTTGAGGGTGTTTTGAATTTTATTTAAAAGTTGCTTTTGAGCATATGCTTCATTAAAATAAAGTTTTGTTATGTTTATGAATTTGTTTATTCTTATAGATTATGACTACTAAAATCTAAAATAGGTTCTAGAAGTACTCTTAAGCAAAACTAAAATTATCTAATTTTTCATTTATTTAATAATTTTACTTGTTTTTCAATCTCCCAAATGCCCTCTTAGACTGAGTGTAATGCCCCATGCCCAACCGCCATGGCATTAACATGTTTTCGTGTGACCACGCGGAACACCCCCCCTCTGTCTGTGATCGAAGGGTCGTGGTGAAAACCACGCTCTTCTGCGTTTTTTCATTTTCATTCTTTTTTTGGTTTCCCCCCTCCCCAACAGTCACTTACATTTTAAAAAAAACTAAATTTCAAATTTCAAACCCCCTATACTCTCTCTTCTATCTAAACCTTCTAATTTTTATATATTTTTCAACACATTCAATTATTATTTCTTTATCTATATTCTATTATACTGAAAAGATGAATGATTTGTACACTATTTCTTCTGAATCGTCTAGTGATGACAAAATATTTATAAATGTAGTTCAAATATCGGCTCGTATTATCGCGAGTTTAATTTGAGCCAGAACAATAACGAAAGGGTCGTTAGAAGATGAATCCGAATCAATCGAGATCGTGCGGCCGCAAACTAGCGTCTCATAGAAGATTATTTTTCTACCGAGCCAACGTACGACTTGACATTTTCCAGACGCTTCTGGATGAGCCAACCTCTTTTTTTTTTGTAGAATTACCGATGACCCGGTTAGTGTTAAGTTTTTTTAATGTACTTTATGTTTTTAAAATTTAATTATTTCATGTACTTTTTTAACTCATGTAATTTATGATTTTTTAAATTAATTTTTTTGTGTATTAAATTTTTATAAAATAAAAAAAGTGAAAAAAATTATTAATCCAAAATGGGAAAAAAGTTAATAATGAGATCAAATAGAATAAACTTGAAAATAAATTTTAATTAATCTATATTATTATTTTATAAAAGATAAAATTTAATGTGAATAAAAATATGTAAATATTCAAAAAAATTAAAATGTAATCATTGTAGTAGATGCGAGGCAATACAGGTGTAAAGTGAGTGAGATGGTGAGTGCTATCGACGATGATGTGATTCTGAACGACCCCTGATTTGGAATGAGAGGTGATGAAATGATACAGAGAGTCTTAACATTTCAGAACTAAATTAATTACTGGACAAAAAACATGTTACTAGTAATATACTAATATGGAGTATTAATGTGCATAGTTATGGAGAAATAGGAGTGCCATTGTGCTATGAGTTCAAAGATTTGCGGTATGAACGTTGAAGTACTTGGCCGTTGAGTTGACAAATGGAAAGGCTTGTACCGGTAGGCACGTTGCGTATCACAACCCAGATCACATGATTCGGTGAACCCCGCGTTTAACCCAACCAGGGTCTAACACGAAACCAACCCACCCACCCACCCACCAGGCCACTCCGTAGATATCTCCCCCCAACCCAAACTCCCCCAAACGCTCCGTCGTCGATCCGACGAACTCTCTCTGGCACCAACCACGGCTGTGACCACTGCCATACCATGGCTTCCGTTCAAGACCAGACCACTGTCTACAACGAGGAAGACATCGACGATGAGGAGGATGAAGAGAGCCTAGATCGGCCGCGCAACGTCGTCCTTATGGACGATGAAGACGACGATGAAGACGTGGAGGATTATTCTACTTCTTCCTCCAACCTCGCCGCTCCCGGTCCCCTCCACCTCTCTTCTGTATCCCCTGCTACGAGGGCCCCGCCTTCTTCAGGCGACGTCACCATCGCCGTCGCCGGCGTTAACTGCGATCCAGTCCATCCCAATTTGGATCCCCATCGGATCGATACCATTGCAGTGGCTGCGTCCTCCGTCTCAGTCTTCGAGGAGAAAAAGCCATCAGCTGCGTTTGATGATTCCCGGAAGCTGTTCCAACGGCTGTGGACAGACGAGGACGAGATCGAATTGTTACAAGGGTTTCTGGAGTACACGACGCAGCGCGGCGCGATTAATTCATCTCACCACCACGACACCACCGCTTTCTACGACCAGATCAAGAACAAGCTGCAGCTGGATTTCAACAAGAACCAGCTGGTCGAGAAGCTCCGGCGGTTGAAGAAGAAGTACCGTAATATCGTAGGTAAGATCGGTGCCGGAAAAGATTTCGTCTTCAAAAGCGCCCACGACCAGGCCACATTTGAGATCTCTACCAAGATATGGAGCAACGGTGGCTCTGCTGTCCGTGGTGGCTCCACAGCTGCAGCGGATACGGGCGGCGGCGGATTTGAAGATGAATACGTAAACCCCTACCCTAACCAAAATCCCAACATTAGCCCTAACCCTAAATCTAATTCGATTGAGGCAAAAACACCTCGACCAAGAAAAAGATCGAGGGGAGGTGCTGCGGCCGCCCTGAGAATGGACGAAAAACAAGGGCTGATCAGTCAGCCATCCGCCGGAGTTAGCGTGGTAGTAACACCTACAGCAAACACCACTACAGCTACGGTTCATCAGATTGCCGCCACTCAGATGCCGAGTACGATAGAGGACACCGTCAAAAGTTGTCTCTCTCCCATATTCAGAGAGTTACTGAACAATGTGACATGTTTGAATGGTGGAAGATGGAGAGGGTTTGAGTTCGGAATGGCTTCGAGTCCATTGAGCTTCGGAGTAGGGTCTCTGAGTGCCGAAATGGTTGCGGATGAGAGGTGGAGGAAGCAGCAAATGCTTGAACTGGAAGTTTATTCAATGAGGTTAGCGTTGGTACAGGAACACATAAAGGCACGACTGGATGAGCTGAGATCAATGGGAAGCTGATGATGATGATGATGATGATGATAAGGCGTATTTTAAATAATTACCCTAATATACATTATGTGTGGTAGGTGTCTTAAGCTCATCCATTGTTGACCACCATGGCTGAAAGATTTAGTGAGGAGGCATTCCGAGATCTGTTCAGACATCTTAACTGTGGCTGTTAAATAACGCGAGTTTAATTTGGTATGACCGTGGCACAGCTTGTTCGAAAAGTTTATAACTTTGTGCAGATAGATGATTAACTTGTACATGGGAGTAAATTAATGGACAAGGTAAAGGAGCTCTTTTTTTCATTTGCCAACACATTTTTTCAATCTTTTGAAGTTTGTGTGGTATGTGGATATCATTGTTCTTGTTTGATCTATTCATCCGTCTTTGATTCCATGTCTCTCAAGTTCTTGGCATATTGTAGACAGTCGCTTCACAAGTACTCTATCTATTTTCTATAATAAAAAATATCCTATTTATTTATTTATTTATTTGTTGGGGGGTGAATAAACAAAATGGTTCTTTAACCTAGAACTCTTCATTTCCAATAGTAAATTAGCAATTAATCAATGCAACTTTCCACGCTCATCATAGGTCATCGAAAAACAGTCGTTCTATGTTCTAAATACGGGTCAGATTGTGTGCATCCAACCCCCTTACCCCGCACTAGGGTAATACTGTTTTTATAAGTCCGGTGGTTCACATTATTTCCTTTGGATGAATCTTAACCACACGATTTCCCCTTTTTAGTGCTATGTCTCGTCAAATGTCAGTCGTTTCTCTGTTTTTAATGATTGTAAATTGTGTTGCACTTCCATATGTACCTCTTCAATCGCTTGCAAATCAATTTACATTAGGTGTTCAAGACATGTGAGGCCTCATTGAAATGAATGCGTTGATTTTTCTGCCGTTCTGTGGATAGTCTATATATGTGGGCACTTGGTACACCTATCTAGAGCATCCGTCCCTAGATGAAAATAAAACTGTTTCAAAAAGAGGAAAATTGTGAACGGAATATACTACTTCCGTCTCACTCTCTTTGTCCACTTTTGACTTTTGGAACTGTTCATCTAAGCATTTTGACTCATCAAATTCTCTTAATGTGTAAGCCTAAATATAGTCATGTATGATCTTGTTTGATTTATCTTAACATATAAATTATTACGGAGTAATATATAATTTCTATAATTTTTTAATATACAAATTACAAGATAAAAAGGATTAAAAAAGTGCATTGGATAGTGTGCCAAAAGTTAGTGGACAAATAGGGTGGGACGGAGGGAGTATATTCTTTTTCATAATAGGACCGTAAGAAAGTCAAATTTTTAAAATAAAAAAATGAAGTGTAAATTTATTTTGAGATGTCCAAAAAAAAGAAAACCATTATCTTCACTTTAAAATTGAGAAGCAAAAACTTCCTTTTGGAATGGAGGGGTATAAACTAACATAAAGATGGATATCCCTTTTCCTCTAATACTATTATTACGCTAATGCACTTGCATTCATTATATTATAACACAGTTTATCTCTTTATATCCTTCGCTTTATTCAAGTTATCAATCTTGAATGCATTGCAGATTATAAAGCTTGTGGGAATACTTCAAAATGCAAGTGGATGAGAATCAGTTCCTTAAAAGCTTGCATGATTTGGAAGCCAAATTAGAAACATCAATAGTGTCTGGGAGCACTTGTCATTAAATTGTTAAATGAACATAAAACCACACATTTATGGTATTGTGTACTTTCAAGGAATGTATGCACACTCAATTTAAATGCGCATTGGATTTTAATGTCCTGAAGAAATGCAGGATAATAGTAAGAGCAATGCTAGAGTCACAAACACTTTGATCACAAAATATACAAACTTACCATTTGTGTATTTAAATGTTTACTTTTTAATTATTTAGTATCATTTTATTCACTTGGTGAGGTGCACAAATAGCAGGGTTGTGTATTTTGTGATCGAAGTGTTTGATTCTAGCGTTTCTCTGATAGTAATGTGTAAGGCTGGAAAATGTAGCATGGGGCTCTCCTTTCTTCTGCTCAATAAAGAGTAAACTTTGTTTTCGTTTTCTCGAACACTTGCTCTGCAATAATGGCCCCATTGCCATCAGCTTGCTTTATTTCCAAGTTAGCCTTTTGATAGACGCCGGTACCTCTTAAAGCATCTGCAATAAAATCATCAAATCCAATGGCAATGGCAGCCTCAGCTTTGGCTCCATAAACAAGCCTCTGCAACAGAACACCAATAATAGTGAATGAAATCAGGAATTGCATAAACATGGCACACTTAGATTTATTTTGTTGAGGGAAAAACAAGACAGCAGGGACTTACCTTAAGTCGTGAAAGATGTATAGCACCAAAGCACATTGGGCATGGCTCACAAGATGCGTATATTTCACAGTCTGACAGTTCAATACGGTTCAGCTTTTTACATGCCTGAAATCAGTAAACGGGGGTAACGAAGGAGTTACATAACTGTTCTTGCAGGATCCTTTAGCGCTCAAACCAGGCAAGCACTGTTTGATGGACATTTCTTTTTTACCAGTATGGACATAAAAGAGTTGACAATTGTTTTCATGCTGATTTTCGAAGCATATCATACATATACAGGTCAAAGTAGCTAGACTGGAAAACTTAGGATAGTGTACCAAGAACATCATCAAAGATGAAAGCACACAAAGCACCGTGTCACACTTTGGGAGGGAAGATAAGTTATTGGGGAAAAAAACAGCCTAAGAGGAAAAGCATTACACCTTGTTTTTTTATAACAGAATTCATTCTCTCAATATCTTTTAAAAGTCCACCTATAAATTTGTGATTACCTTGTCTTCTTCTTTTTCCCAAGACAAGGGAATATTTTGAAAGGTGATGTGATAGCAATACTACTCTCACTACTAAACCAAAACAGAATGGATGACACTTTCCTCTACATATACATATAAGCCAGTGAGGTAAATGTTTGCATCCAACGGCATGCACCATAATTTGCACGATCAAGTCTCTTTCCCTAGGAACAGCTTAAAGAAAGAAACTGTGTTGCTCTTTTTCCAAATGGAAATAATGATATGGCCAACGAGTAATTCAACTTCTACCATACAGTTTCGTACTCAATGCTTTAATCCTTGTATGTTTTAATATGACCGTATCTAAACGAGTATTCATGAAAACAATTCATACAAATCCGTTTTATAATTTCATTTCCTTATGCAGTTTTCTGCAAGGTCACTTAAGTTCTAAGATATCTTAAGATGTGGTAAAAATGAAAACGGTAATGTTCTTTTTCCAAATGGAAAAAGAACCATGCTCCAAATGACCTCAATCTCCAATTGAGGCAAAGACCATGAAACCTTAGTAATTGATAGAAAATTCTTCATAATATAACACATTGATCTGGTGGTACCACTCTTTGACTCTACTAGAATGGTGTCCATGACACCATAATAGACATACTTTTAATATGAATCCAAACTTTTAGAACCATGAGTGCACCATAATCCAGGAATGTCTGGTGTTGAATATTGTATAGTGTATACACTAGCACACAATGAAGAAACCCATAGCAAACAACCGGCGCACCTTGCTTACTTTGCATCCTCGGAGTATATATCTATATAACCAGCATGTTGTAGTCTTCATAGGATCAAGCAAAAAAGAACTTGAGAGTTTTGTATAAACACCTCACGTGAAAATCCAGATTCCATGGCACCCCACCCCAATTTCACCTCATAATGAGCAAGTTTCCGGAAGTTCATCAGTTGGAAGACTAGCACAAGATACAAGCACAATCTGATAGATGAAGCTAATGGGGTTTGACAAGATACAAGCCCAACGCCTCAACATTTTGATTTTTCCCCCTGTTTTTTTATTTCTTTTCTTTTTTTTCTCTTCTTCCTCTTCCTCCCAGCAACCCTAACCCTGCATCTATTCTTCTTTCCTCCGACTGCTTAGCTCCCACGCCACCGCCGTCTCCATGAGTCGCTGCCACCACTGTCTCCATGAGTTGCCGCCACCGTCGTCTCCATGACTCGCCGCAACCGTCATCTCCATGAGTCGCCACCCACCATCAGGCTGAGCCTCCGCCACCGCTGCCAATCCATCACTGCTACGCCAACCGTAGACGGCCATCTGTAGACCTTGAGATTCTTCAACTTTCTAAATTCCTCTTGGTTCACTAGCATGGAGAAGCTTTTGAATGCAATTTCCAGGTGCCGGAGATCCTAGAGACAGTCGGCAAGCAGAGCACTGGCTACGACAGCCATTTTCTGATGGTGACGACACCCTAGTGCATAGCAGTGGCGTTGACGAGGGAGCAACAATGGTGGCGGTGACTCAGCGGCGTGGTAGCTGAGCCAGCGGAGGAAAGAGGAAGAAGAGAGGCAGCGTTGCTGGGAGGAAGAAGAAAGAAAAAGAAAAAAAAGAATAAAAGAAAAGAAAAAGGAAAAAAGAAAAAAGAAAAAAAGGAAAACAAATCAAAATGTAGAGTTAGCAGGCCAACTCAGACTCCACGTCAGCCAAATGTCCTGCAAGTGACCTGTAACTGGCTAATTATCTTTTTCTTGAAAGATTTGGTAAACTTCAGGGTTTTTTTTTATAGAAAATGAACTTTAAAAGGGTTTTACTCAAGTCTCTAAGTATACTCTAATGAAAAATGTTCATTTTTACAAGGTCGCTTTAGAAGGGTTTTACTCTAAGTATACTCTAATGAGAGTGTATGAAGGGTTTTACCAGTCCTTGGGTACGAAAGAAGGGGAAAGATGTATTTACAAGATTGCAAAGGGAGGGTCGAGAAAGAAAGATGTGGGATTTGGACCAACTTAAGTGCATTAAAGATAAGAATGGTGAAGTTTTGATCTCTGATGAAAGCATGAACGACCGGTGGAAGAGCTACATCAACGATCTGTTTAATGAGGAGCATGTGAATCTCTCATGCTCTGATCGGCTACACACGAGGGAAGAGGGCCAAAACTTCAATTATTATCGAAAATTCTGAGAAACTGAAGTTAAGGAAGCCCTAAAACGAATGAAGAATAGCCGAGCAGTGGCAGAAAACATTCTAATTGAAGTTTGGAAAGGTTTAAGAGGAAAAGGCATTTGGTGGCTAACTAAGCTTTTTAACGAGATTTTAAGATCTTAGAAGACGCCTACCGAATGGAGGAAGAGCATTTTGGATCCTATTTACAAGAATAAAGGAGATATTCAGAGTTGTGGAAACTACATAGGAATCAAGCTTATAAGTCATACGATGAAGTTGTTGGAAAGAGTGGTTGAACGGAGGTTGAGAAAAGAGACTTCGGTGTTAGAGAACCAAGAGAGGTATTGTGGAAAGTGCTAGAGAAAAAAGGAGTAAGGATTGCTTATATTTGTGCGATTAAAGACATGTACGATGGTGCCACAACGAGCATGAGAAACAAACTGGGATGGGAATTCCCCATCGGTGTAGGATTACACCAAGGGTTATCGTTAAGCCCATATCTTTTTGCACTAGTATTGGACATTCTTACCGAGCATATCCAAGAATCTGTACCATGGTGCATGCTCTTTGCTGACAACATCATCCTTATGAGCGAATCACGAGAGGGTTTGAATGGGATGTTGGATTTGTGGAGACAGGCTTTAGAGTTGCATGGCTTGCGTATAAGTCGCACTAAAACAGAGTATAGGGAGTGCAAGTTCGGCATCAAAAGGAGAAATAGTAACATTGAGGTGGAAGTTGGAGAAAATCATAGTCACCTAAATCGCGATACGTTTCGATACGGGTACGCGATATGGGTACAAAATTCGCTAGAGGTGACGAATTCGGTACAAAGCGGTACAGTTTTCCATGTATTCGGTTTGGTGTACCAAACGTCAAAACATAAGTAAACAAAAATGGATAAGATGAGCATAAGTGCATAACATTACAAAATACAATAGAAAAATGTGTGTTAAACAGCTTCAACTTCATCATCAGCATCAACATAATTGTGGGTGTTGCTAATATGGGTCTCACTATCATCTTGAGTATTATGGGATTTATTATTTTTGCCAAAAGCCATTGAAAAAAAGAGAAAAATTGAAAGTAGAGGAATAGAGGTTGGGTTGTGAGTGGTGAGAGTGTGCAGTGCTTAGTATATACAGAGTAGTATAATATTTAATTTAGAATTGAATTTTGAAAAAAATATTAAAGGAACTATTTTTTAATAAGACATCGGAAAGTGGAATTTTAATATGTGCCTCGGAAGTGGGAACTACTCAATTTACGTACGTATGGGAACAAGAAAGTCAGCAATTGGAAGAGGGAAAGTCGACTTAGACTGGTTCGCCGTACTGCCGGCTATTGGTATGCCATTATTATTTCTGACATGGTGCTCCGTACCAAGGGGCTAGGGGAAATTTCAATTTGCTTTTGGTACGCCGTATCAAGGGGCTAGGGAAAATTTCAATTTTGTTATACCCGGGCCTGGCCCTATCATACCCTCCCCCATGTCCTATACCCTCGCAAAAACCAAAGGACTTACGTTCAAACATTATGATCCGTTTTAGTGAGAATTCCAGGTCCTTCAACCAGAGAGGCCTGAATAACTTCGGACCCAAGGTTTCCACAGACCAAATCCCACTCCGTCCAACCCAACCCTAAACATCCAAAACTCCTTGCCATTTAATTCATTTCAAAATAAAGCTTTTCCTACTTTTATTTTAGCCCTGGCAGAAAATAAGTGTGTAAAATAAAACCTTTTGTTTGTTGTTATTTTCCTACTTTTAAGCCTTTTATTAAACAAATAAAGCCCTCCCTTTATTCCATTCATCCCCTGGACAAAATACACTTCACAACCACAACACAACACCCAAAAAGAGCCAAAATCCTGACCCACCACAAACCACTAATCCCTGCCCATGTTCCCCCACAAATAACCCAAACCTATATGTCCAAAACCACCCCTAATATTGCCCAGCCCTGTCCCCTTTTATTG